CCTCTGCAGTGACCGCCTGCCGCCTGCCCTTCTCCTCTGCAGGTCTCCTGTTGTCTCACTCCTTACCTGACTGGTTTGTCTCCCCAGGACGTCCCAGTTAACCGGGCCTTGGGGAGCGGCCTGCGCGGCGCTGTGAGGTCGGGGCTGAGCGGGGCGCCTGTGGGAGAGCGCGGCAGGTGAACCGCCACGCCACGCGCGAACCACCATCACCCCTGCACCCTCTAAACGGGCGGCTTCCACCAGCAATGCGAATCAAACCAGTGCCGTTAACACACACACACACCAAATCACGGCCTTTAAAGTGCCACCGGCCACCAACGGCTGTCCCAGCAAGCCCGTCACGCTCGCGACCCCGGGGCCGCTTTGTCCGCGCAGCTCAAGGGCCTCGGGCCACCTTGTCGCCCGGAACTTTCCGGCCGGCCCGGCAGCAGCCGGAAGAATGCGCGGGGCAGGGCAGGGAACGCTTAGGCCGCCGCACGCGCGGCCGCGGCGCAGGGAAGAAGCGGAGCATTGTGGGAAGCGCCCGCGCTTTCGGCGGGTTCCGTTAAAATGGCGCCCTGGTGGCCGGCGGCGCCCGCGCCTTAGCCTGTCGGGAGCCGGCAGCCTGCAGGGCGCAGGGAGGGCGCGGGCCGCGGTCCCTGCGCGTGCGGCGACGGTGGCGGCTCTGCCGGGACCCCAGTGCGCAGTCCTGGGCGAGGATGGCGACCCCGGACCAGAAGTCGCCGAACGTTCTGCTGCAGAACCTGTGCTGCAGGATCTTGGGCAGGAACGAAGGTAGAGGGGTCGGGCGCGCGGGGCCCGCAGACCGGTCCCGGGGGGCCCTCCCTGCGCGCGCAGCCCTAAGACGTCCCGGGGCTGGAAGGACGAGGATGCAGGGCCGGGGCTGAGGGCTGGGGGACGGGCTGAGGACGCGGGGCCCGGACGAGGAGCGGAGGGCTGAGGGCCGGGGGTCAGGGATCCGGGGAGGGAGCGGAGGTCTGGGGTTCTGGGGACCAGGGATCCAGGGAGGGAGCGGAGGTCTGGGGTTCTGGGGACCAGGGAGCCGGAAGGAGAGCGGAGGGCCGGTGCCAGTGTGGAGGGAATGGAGAGACCGAGGTCGGGGCGAGAACGCGGGGCCCAGGGGCGGGAGGGCGGAGCCCGAGCCGCAGCCGGCTGAGTCACCGCTCACTCCGCGCGGGTCCGTCAGTGAGGACGGCAGGAATGCCAGCTCGCCAATTTATGCCCCTTCTCTGGTGTCACACGCCGGGGGAGGGCGCCATTGCGCACCTTTGGGTTCATCCTGTGTGGGGTGGAGAGAGCGGCTGCGCCGCGGGGGAGGATGCGAGGTGCTGGAGAGCCACATCATCGTCCATTTCATTAGGAAAGTTTAACAGGCTTGAATATTATGGGAAGGGGGGTGTTAACGACTGTTGTTATCTGCCATATTTTCCTGCTGTTTGAAAGGTTGAGGGTTGGATTTGGTATAAAACTATTCTGGGAAAGTTCACATGTCGAATATTGTTACTAATAAGCACAACTAAACGAATCCTATATAGTAGGTAAAGCCATTTTGTAGCCGAGGTACTTTAAAAGAAATGGTACAGAATGTCATTTCCTGATACTTGTTTTGGTCAGGTTGGTCGGGGAGAGAGTGAGGATGCACCATGAGGGAATTTTCTGAGTAACTGAAGCAACTGAGTTACGTTTTAAGCACCAAGATGTGGAATAATTCAATTTTTGAAAGAAGACTTCAAAGTTACATTTAAAGTACTGAGAATGCATTTTGACCTTTCATGCTTCATGACAATTACTATATGTAATTCATTGGATGTTCTATGATAATCTTGGAGCAATCATGAATGACTTTCTGTCACTATTGAATGAGTGACATCACACAATTATTGCTACATTTTGTGAAGTTTCATTCTATCGCTTTATTTATCTAAGAAATCTTTGAGGACCACCCCGTTCTCAAAGTTCCCCCCAGGAACTCTGCTAAGTGCTGGTGATGCAGATGCACAAGTCATTCCTCCCACAGATCTGACAGACACTGTAGTGGAAGAGACAGATGATAAACCGGTCATGTTAATTGGTAATAAGTGCTGTGGTGAAAAAGTAGGGTAAAGGAATAGAGAGAGACAAGGTGAGGGAAAGCCTTTGAGATAATTAAAGAGACCTGAATGGAGTAAGGGAGGGCCATTTGAACATCTGGGGAAGGTTCTGAGTAGAGGGAACCAGTGCAAAGGCCTTGAGGTATGAGCATGGCCTGCCCTCTTTCGTTTTTGTCACTAGCACACTGAGTTACCTTTCTCATGTTTCATGTTCCTAGTCATAGGGGGAATCATATAAAACTCAGGTTGTTAGTTATGACATACATGGGGGAATCAGATAAAACTAAGATTGTTAGTTATGACATACCCACCTTCATATCGGTGTTTTCCTTATACAGGTGGTTCCAGATTTTTTTTTCCAGAGTTTTTTGTTCTAGGGATAAACCACACATTCATACATTCTCGTCATAATTGGATTTTGAAAGTTATTCGTTGTGAGATAGAATGTTTCTCAACTTAAAAACTTTTTTTACGTTGAAGATTCTTTGATATATAAGTTTTGCCTGTTCCAAGATATTGAAAAGTTGCTTTTCAGCAAAATTCTGTATCCTACTATCTTCCCATTTAGAATTGTGTCTGAATTAAAAGTGGGCTCTCAGATCCTGACAGAGTCGTCTCTGAATTATTTATTCGAGATGGAGTCCTGCTGTGTCACCTAGGCTGGAGTGCAGTGGTTTGATCTCAGCTCACTGCAACCTCTGCCTCCTGGGTTCAAGTGATTTTCCTGCCTCTGCCTCCTGAGTAGCTGGGCTTACAAGGTGTATGCCAGCACTCCTGGTTAATTTTTGTATTTTTAGTAGAGGCGGGGTTTCACCATCTTGGCCAGGCTGGTCTCGAGCTCCTTACCTCAAGTGATCTGCCCACCTCCATCTCCCAAAGCACTGGGATTATAGGCATGAGCCACTGCACCTGGCCCTCTCTGAATGAATTATGTCATAAAGTCCATTGAAGGTGATATTCTTTTTGTGATGTTCTAAATAGCTAGGACTGCCAAGCATTTATAATGTAAATTCAAATTATGCAGGTATTTACTGAAGAATTTATATTTAGTAACTTACCTTGTTCTTTCATTTGTTTTACCTTAGTGAGCAAAGGAGCAATATTGATTACTACCTTTACAATATTTGATGTTAAAAAATTTGATTAGTGGGCATTTTATGTGGTAACCCCATAGAACATTTGATTAATTACCTTATTCTTTAATGACATGTTACTAACAATTGACCTTATGCTTTTGTAATACATTGCTTTTTTTAGTACTGTGAAATCAAGGCATAATAGATACTTGTTACGTTAATGAGAATTTCATATGAATCATACTTTTATAAGGTATATTTAAAAAAATTATACTGTTGATTTCAAGGGACCTTCAGAAGCAGAGCACCTATGTATAATGGTGCTTGACAATTTTTTAAAGTTAGCATAACCATAATTTACCAACTTTGCCAACTTCTAACATCTGTGAATTTTCTTGAAACACATACTGCTAGCTAGTGATAGGCAAATCCTGTCTTCATATCCCTGCCCCTCTTGGGAGCACATTTATTGTGTCTTTGAATAGTTACTCTTATCATTGAAAGCAGTGTGCTTGATGTTAGTGTTTCAAATCTGTCAGAGGTAACCCTTCTTTTCATAGCTACTTTGTAATTCTTTTTCTAATTATGAGGTAAAAAATAAAGAAATTTATATTAGATAAGTATTTCAGCATAAGTGATTACCATAATATGCAAGACCTCTATGTGTGTATTCCAAGACCTCTATGGGTGTACTCCAAGACCTCTGTGAGTGTACTCCAAGACCTCTATGCGTGTACTCCAAGACCTCTGTAAGTGTACTCCAAGACCTCTATGCATGTACTCCAAGACTGAGTGTACTCCCAGACTCTGTGAGTGTACTCCAAGACCTCTATGCGTGTACTCCAAGACTCTGTGAGTATACTCCAAGACTTCTATGCGTGTACTCCAAGACCTCTGTGAGTGTACTCCAAGACCTCTGTGCGTGTACTATAAGACTCTGTGAGTGTACTCCAAGACCTCTATGCGTGTACTCCAAGACCTCTATGAGTGTACTCCAAGACCTCTGTGAGTGTACTCCAAGACCTCTGAGTGTACTCCAAGACCTCTATGCATGTACTCCAAGACCGCTGTGAGTGTACTCCAAGACCTCTATGCATGTACTCCAAGACCTCTGTGAGTGTACTCCAAGACCTCTATGCGTGTACTCCAAGACCTCTGTGAGTGTACTCCAAGACCTCTGTGAGTGTACTCCAGGACCTCTGTGAGTGTACTCCAGGACCTCTGTGCGTGTACTCCAAGACCTCTGTGAGTGTACTCCAAGACCTCTGTGCGTGTACTCCAAGACTGAGTGTACTCCAAGACCTCTATGTGTGTACTCCAAGACTCTGTGAGTGTACTCCAAGACTCTGTGAGTGTACTCCAAGACCTCTATGCGTGTACTCCAAGACCTCTGTGAGTGTACTCCAAGACCTCTGTGCGTGTACTACAAGACTCTGAGTGTACTCCAAGACCTCTATGCGTGTATTACAAGACTCTGTGAGTGTACTCCAAGACCTCTATGCGTGTACTCCAAGACCTCT